TAATTATATACATATATTATATATGTGTATATATATATATATATATATATATATATATATATATATATATAATTTTGTAAAAAAAATAATAAAAATACACGTTTTTCATATAATGGTGTATATTTAAAAGTATAAGGTGGTACTGATGTAGCATTGCAGCAAGACGTAATGAGTATTTCTACACAATCACATGAGACTAAACAGGTGTTGTGATTATAAAGATCCAGGGGCTCCTTTCAAGGATGCACACCATGTTTGTGCACACAAATCCTTCACTTATCACAGGCTGTCAGCCAGAATAGTAAAGAGCTCCATTACAAACAACCGTAAAGCTTATATAGTCGCTGCAACCTGTGGCATCTCCATGCAGTGAATTATGGTCTTTAAATATATAGGAGCGACTGGAAAGGAAACAATGTGCTCTGACCTCACCTCTACCTCTCTCTGCCTCAATGGAATTGTGAAAGCATGTCGAGTTCACATATTTACACTCTTGATGCACACCAGTGTGTTCTGCTGTTGAAAGGATGCCTCGTGACTTCAAAGCATTCCTGTTCAGATAGGGAGGGTTTTACATTCAAGGCTTTCAGGTCAGTTTGCATCCATTTAAAAATAGCTTATATTTTAATTTTTTTTAAAAACTCTTTAACAGGGACTTTTTTTAAAATTAATAGAACAACATTAGGATAAATACTTTCAAGGTCCAAGGAACCAAACTTGTTGAAAAAGTGGGCAGGCACTGTTGCAGTCTATATGGCAGAATAAGTCCCGCCTTCTAAATAAATGAGCCAGTCGTCAATTGGTAAAGTCATTGGAGCTGCCATTAGAAGCAGTTAGTGTCCTGAGATGTGTGCTTGGGACTGTGCATTGGCTGGACCAACCTGCTAATGAAGCTTAAGAAACAACATCTATGGGATGGCTATTGTCTATTGGCTAATGTGTCCATACCTTAAAGCAACTGTATGTAGTTCTGAGTATTTTTTTCGATTATGTAGAGTTTGAGTGAAATTCACCATTGTAAATATATCACTGTCATAATTACAGTGAATAATTGTACAAGTGGCTTTGGCTGTACACATGCATTTGTTGCTGCCGTAATGTAATCCGGCCTTTTCACTGAATTTCGTACCCACTCACCAAACTTGCATACTCCCAGTCCCAAAACATACATCTGGTGAAAGAAACAAAAGCCATTCACCTTATTTGAAGTCAGTGTACCATTAGAATGATTTTGTTAAAGTGATATTTCAAGATAAAAAATGTGCATACAGTTGTTTTAAGTTACGTTGTAGTTTGAGTGTATAATTATAATTATATAACCTTCAGATTTCTTATCAGACTTCTTTTCTTTTGTGTTCCTTTTGCACACATTTTCCATGAACTCTCTGCAGCCATTAAACAGATTTGAAAGGTGCTTTTTATCAGCTCAGACATAGACTGCAGTGTAACTTTGATTACAGTACTTATGCATGCAGTTATTTAGTCTCTTGTTGTTATTTAGTCTCATGGTGTTCATTTCATGAAGCACTTTAATACATAGTAGAGACAATGCCTCTGTTCATATGGGGCAAAGTCTGTTTCTGCTGTGCAGTCGTGTCCCCCTCAAATGTAACAGACCACTCTTGATGTTGATGCAGTTTCCTAAAATAGGCACATTGGAAATACATGTCATGCCGACATGTTGCCAAACCTCAGACTATGTTACACTGAGAGTATAAATCTTTTCCAGTTGTACCTTACTAACTTACTGTTTGTAATATTATAGATGATATTAGGTTATATACTGCATATATGTTTGCATTAATCTGTGGTTACTCTGTAAGCAAAATGATTAAAGAGGCAAAACACCACTGATTATCACTGGTGTGTGTGATTTGTTTTGTGACGGACATGTCTAGGAAAATCCAAGGAGTTGATTGTGCTGATGTTCAGATGGTGTTTTTGTGACATTATAATCACCATGCTAATTCGCTTTGTTTTTGTCTTATCTGTAGCCATAACCAGAAGACGACTACTTTCATACATCCAGTGACAGGCCAGATCTCTGCTGAAAATTCTGATTTCAGACTTCAGGACCAGTAAGTATTGTCTTTTGACATGACTAGGTCACTTCTTGTTTGGTTATATTTATGTTCTGTCGCAAACTAGCAGCCCAGTTCTTGAGTTTGGTTTCTAATAACTAGGGCTGGGTATCGAGTTCGATACTTTTTAGGCACCGACCAAATTGTCTTGATACCATCGAGTATCGAAAACCGTCTTGTCGTTCGGTACCAAATTTCGATACCTAAGGGGTTAATCTCATCAGCGTCAGTGAGCCAATAAGCCTGCAGCACTAGCCGGTGTGTTCGACTAGAGGATCGACACAGATCGATCATCCGCGAGAGCGATTCGAAAGCGCACGGAGCAGTCTGCTATCTTTAGCTCTCGTGGTACTCTCTCTCTCGCAGACACACACAGTCCAGACATGCAGTGACGCGAATAGAAACTTCTTGTCAGCGCTGCACCGCAAATTTATCAGTAAAATAGTTTCGCAGCTGAAAAGCTACATGACATTTCTCAGTAGCGAGGTTCATGAAGGAGTTTAACTTAAAGATTCACTATTAGTAGCCGCTGCTGCTGAACGCTGCTGAGAGACGCATAGACGCAGGTATTCACACGCACTTAATGTCTCTCTCTCTCCCTCTCTCTAATAACCGCATTAGACTGCATTAATAACTGCATAAGCACTAGCCGGTGTGTTCGACTAGAGGATCGACACAGATCGATCATCCGCAAGAGCGATTCGAAAGCGCACGGAGCAGTCTGCTATCTTTAGCTCTCGTGGTACTCTCTCTCTCGCAGACACACACAGTCCAGACACGCAGTGACGTGAATAGAAACTTCTTGTCAGCGCTGCACCGCAAATTTATCAGTAAAATAGTTTCGCAGCTGAAAAGCTACATGACATTTCTCAGTAGCGAGGTTCATGAAGGAGTTTAACTTAAAGATTCGCTATTAGTAGACGCTGCTGACGGAAACATGTCAAATGTCTTGAAACAAATTATCTGAACAATGTCTTGATGTGTGGTTGGGACTCCAGGCCGTTAAAATTATTAGAGAAATAATGCACCCCCGGAGGTGGTTATGTGGCCACGACTATATGGTATGGTCTTTCCATAGCAATATTGACTTGTTCCATAGAACTATTCGATTTTTATTGACTGAACGCAAGCACTTATTCCGATACACAAAACACTGTATCGGTTTCCACTGATTAAGAAATATTTTTGTTTGCTTGGGTGGTAATATTAGGTCTATTATATTAATAGGGAAGGGGGCCCAAAAATGTCACGAAAATAAGTAAATCCGGACCTGCCATCTAATGTGTGTTTTGGCCATGTATTGTTGCTGAAATTAAATCTGTCAGATTTAAGATTTAAGTCAGAGCAGCGATCATGGAAGAGAGAACACAAGCAGACAGCGCTGGAAGCTGCTAATGCTCATCAGTAAATCAGTAGAAAATAAATAGAAATCATGATTCTGTCTCAGCTATGCGTTTTAAAACGAACACTAACTAGTGTAAATGTAGCCTAACAGATGTGTAAACTGAAGACTATTTGAGCTTTAGTAAAACTATTTTGCACTGATTTATTGTGTTGGTTACATTTTGTTCCTTTGTGCAGTGGCTCAGGAGATGAGTCTTTGAGTTTGTATAAACATCAACAAGCTGAAAAATAAAACCAAAGTTTTTTTTTTAGATAATGTAATCTTGTTAAAATTGATTTCATAAAATTGGTATCGAAAAAGTACCGTTCAGGAACCGGTCTCGAAGTCAAGGTATCGGTATCGATATCGAAAAATTTTGAACGATACCCAGCCCTACTAATAACATAGATGAAATATTGAGACTTCATATACTTTTAAGATGCTAAACAGCTCAGGCTGCTTGTCTCATGCTCCATGCATGTCAGCAAGGGCTTTTATTAAGCATGAATGAAGCATGAGTGAATTGCATATGGAACCAAAATAATTCCAGCAGCATTTTCTCTCAAAACAGTTTTTAAAGATTAAATGTAAGCCTGTAATGGGTACAAATAATAAATTACATTTATCAAATTCGACCTGATGAGCGTTTAAATAGTAACATTACCAACTATTAATTAAAAGCTATTAATAGACTTGTATCAGTAATTAAGTGATGCAAGTTGCATAATCAGATTACTTTTTTAAGTAACTAGTGATGTAAGGCATTACTTTTTAATTTACAAGAAAATAACTATCTTTTTCAAATTAGTAATGCCAGTTGCTTTGTTTTCCCATTTATTGACTGGCAGCAAAGCTGAAAGGTTTGTTTGAGCTGAATCCTCTACTGTACAAATGTGAATTTGCATTTCTTTCAGACGGAGGCTTATTCATTTCACTTTTGGTGTCGAAGGGCTTTTACAGTTGCCAAAAAAAGAAATGTCTTATGTTAAAAACAAAAAAGTAAGCCCAGCACCGATGAGAAAAATGAAGGCAAAAGTAGCACAATGCATTACTTTCCATGAAAAGTAGCTAATACAATTAGTTACTTTTTTAGGGAGTAACGCAATGTTGTAATGCATTAATTTTAAAAGTAACTTTTCCCAACACTGGTAATTAAATAGGAGTATTTCCTATTTTGATATTATACACTACCATTCAAATATTTGGGGTCGGTAAGGTATTTTTTTAAAGAAATTAATACTTTTTTTCAGCAAGGATGCATTAGAGACTTTTACATTGTTACATAAAAAAATTACATTTCAAATGAATGCTGTTCTTTTTTGCTAAACTTGATTTTTATCAAAGAATCCTGGTTAAAACATATCACGATATTCATTAAGTAGCACAACTGTTATCAACATTGATTATAAGAAATGTTTCTTAGACACCAAATCAGCATATTAGATTGATTTCTGAAGGATTTCTGGGGACTAATGGCTGCTGAAAATTCACAGAAATAGATTAAATTTGAAAAAATATATTAAAATAGAAAACAGTTATTTAATTATATTTTACAATATTACTGTTTTTACTATATTTTTATCAAATAAATGCAGGCTTGGTGAACATAAGAGACTTCTTAAAAAGCATTTTAAAAATCAGTACCATCATACGGTTGTGATATATCATGTTAATGATCTATATGTTAGCAGATGCAGAGCTGGAAGGATACAGCTGACTTAAGTATCACATGTCTCCACTGGCATTTGTCAATAGTCTCACTCACTCAGATCCCCTCTTGCTGCTGTCAAGTTGTAACATATTATAGCTGTCTGTTTTCTCAAACATGTGCACAGGGCACTTGGGTGGTTATGCTCTTCAATAATGGCTTGTACAGGAAAAGATGTCGAAATTCAGAGGTATTCCTTATCAGAGACAAACTTTGGGCTGTTTCGTTTTATGCTGTTAAGAGATACATCAAAATCTTTCAGGTTATGTTAGGGAACCTCATAATAACGCTACACAGTCCAACATCCTTAGTCCAAGAAGGATCTGCCATTAGAACAATGTTTCAATAGCTGCCCACCGGTCTTATCTAACCTGGATCTCTCTAAAAGCAGCTCATATTAGTGCATATATTTCAAAGACTGGGCCTCTCTTATCGTCTGTCTGTGAGCAGGAGGCTGTATTCTCCTGCCACTTCCAAATGAATGCATCTCATTAACAGCTGTGTGGGTGCATGAGGCTTTCTGAGAACCGCAGGTAATGTGTCGTTGGCTCTTAATGTATCAACAGACCAGGCACATGCTGGAAAGATCTAATATGAGCTGTAGGGATCATATAATAACCTAACTACTATACATTATGCAGAGTATGAGGACAGATTGTTCTGGAAGAACTTGTTCTCCTTTGATACTTTTATTGAAGTATAATTGTGAATCAATTTTAAATCTTTGGTATAACTTTTTGGTAAATGGACTTTGGTGCAGAATAGGGTTGGGCCGATAGACGATGCCATCGTCCATTGCCGATGGCTGATACACATCACAATGTGTATCATCCCCCCATACCCCCCGCAATCCGCCGTATCTCAATACCGTGTTCGGAAAGAAAATTACATGTATACGGAACCCCTAAAGAGAATAAATACGAGATGGGAGGAAAGTACATATTTTAATAATTTCTCTCGCAGTTATATCATTGGGTAATTATACTGTATATAAATAGCGGGCATCAGGGTTGAATCAGGCTGGCATTGAAACTACTTTTGAATGCACGAGTGCTTTTTAGTTTCACTTTTACTTTTAAGATTCACGATCACACGTACTCTGTTTATACTATGGAGTGGCAGTACTTACCACACATTTTACAAGATTAGATGTTTGTCAGTGGTGCTCAGAATCTGCAAATCATTCTCCATCGTCCTCAGTCATCTCTCCTCCTTACTAGTGGTAAGTGGAATTTTATTTACTGTTATGTAACAGGCAACCATTAGCAATCGTTTTCTCGTTTCGGGGCACAACCCCAAACCCCCCCCTCCCCCTCCGCCGATGTCATCATCCATCGCGATGCTTCACTGTAGACATCGCCCGATGCCAATTTTGTAGACATCGGCCAACCCTAGTGCAGAACTCATTTTGCACTGTTTTTTACCACAGACATATATTATGCTATTGCTTTTCTAAGTGATCATACCATTTTCTGGTGGAAAACATGCAGTAACATCTTATATTGACACATCTAATATATCAGAGAGACTCAATATATCAGAGAGGACTCGTTTGGCTTGGGACAGTATACACAGGCCCTGTATGGGGCCCCAGAGGCCCCCAGCATATCTAAGCATCAGAATATCCCAATATGATTTTGGTGTTATTTATGAACTATTATAATATTAGTTCATATTTTGACTTGACATCGCTGAATCAACAATGAACTGACTTTTACTAATAAACTGTTTTCTATTGTCCTCTTGCATTATCAGCACAGGTTTTTCCTATTTAACACTGTAAAGCTGCTTTAACACAATCTGTATTGTATAAAGCACTGTATAAATAAAGGTGACTTGACTTGAATTAGCATTTATTTTTATGTTTTCCGTTTTCTTTTTAGTAGTTTAAGTTTTAGTAATTTT